TAAAATAATTGATTATATTATATATTATATATATATATATATATATATATATATTAATATATATATATATATATATATATTTATTGAACAAAATCCAAAACTAATATTAAAAATAAATAAATAAATAGATAAATTAATAAAATGTTAAAATCCTTTGAAACCAAATGAATTTTCCCTACGAAAATAATTTAAATAAATATAAAGAACACATTTCTTGCTTTAGCTAAGCTTTCAACTATTTATTGACCACTTTTCATCTGCAGACTCTATCTAGACCCTTTGCTTTACATTATTGAAATCCCAACAGAAGCCTCTATAAATTGATAATAGCAATTTGCATGCCATTTGGATCATTTCAATTTATTGACGTAGCCAACTAAACATGCCGTTGGCGCCGGGCCAAATCGATGCAGAATCGAAGGCAGAAGAAGAAGAAAAAAAAAAAACAACACAAAAAACAGGCACACACACAAGTACACACACATACATACAAACAGAGATTGGCAGGAATAGAGGAAAAAGAAAATACTCCACTAAAAGAAATTGCCTGTCTACAAATTCCGAAATAGAGGACAATTTAGGGCGTGTCTGAACGAAACTAAAGTCAACTAAACTTAAATAAACTCTATTGAAAATAGACTAAAATCTATAACGAGGTCGTTGAAGCACAAAGTAGCTCAAAGTAAATGCAATATTTTGTTTATTATTTACACTTCATGAATCCATAAATATTATATATACATATCGCATAAATATCGTGATCATATATACAATGTGCTATACAAAAATAAATATATATTTGTGAATAATTTGGGTGACCCTCGCCTCTGTGAACTCTACTGTGTTCTATATATGTATATTGCGTGTGCTGGCAATAGATCAGCTTACCTCTGGTGGAACGCTTCTATCGGTATTATCACTAGCAATATCTGTATTATCCGGCGTTTTATGCTTTAGCATAGCAGCAAATTAGGGGTTAAAATGGACAGAGATTTCGGTTAGATTTTAAGTTGTTTAGTTTGGACGAAACGCAAAACTCTCAAAGAACTGGTTTTAGCATTAAAGAATCAATAAACAACAATTTTCACACACACTTTGAAACGTGAATAAATTACGTAGAGAGAGAGAGAGAGAGGTAGATAGATAGATATAGGAGAGTAGGTGTGTGTGAATCGAAATGAAATGTAGTGGAGCGCACTTACCATATTGTCGGTCAGAGACTGATGCACATTATCACAGAAGATGGTCCACCAGTGTTGGATAAGGTCTTGCGCATGGGCATATTCGTTGGGCGTGGCAGCGGTCTTTGTCTGAGAGTTGAACTGTATGAGCCATGGCTTCAATTTGCCAGCGAAATGCAAAATCTTAATCTTATCTCTGAACCTGAATAGAGAAATGGGGATGTTTATAGAGAAAATACCTCTAACTAACTAGATTCGCTTACTGTTTGAATGCGGGCAAATAGCAATAGGAAGCATAGGCCGTCACGTTGTAGACGAATGGCAAATGCTTCTTGATATCTGCGGTCGCCCAGTCGCCAAAGTACTGATTCAACAGACCCTGATCGCCGCCATCGAAGCTGCCGTTCTGCACGGCAAACTCTGTGATCTTGGTGAAGGTGTCCACGCTGGGCGTGAACACAAAAACGCCCGAGTTGAAGCAGTCTGGCCAGCTGACATCTGGAGCAGCGGAGAGTTCCTCACGCTCGAACAGCTCATCGCAGTTCTTCAGTACCTGTAGAGCGGGGAGTATTAGTGCTGATTCATATATACATAGTATATTCATGCGGGATCCACTTACCAGCGTGTCGGCATCGAGGAAGACACACTTCTCGAACTGCACCAGACGCCAGCAGTGGAGCTTTGTGAAGGTGACGCCCAGTTCGGGGCGGGCGAGAAGCGCCAGATTGGCAGCATCCTGTGAGTCAAGGACATTCACCTCTTGTACAACATTGTACACGTCCTTCAGTCTGTCGCGCATCGCCTCCGAGACGGTGGGCGTCACCAGCACAGCCAGCTGGTGGGCGGTGCCGGCGCGCTTGAGCGAATGTGCCAGCACCAGGGCGCCCAGCCCATAGTTATCATTTGTCGTCAAGGTAACCCAGGCGAACTCTAATACGGAAATAGGAGGAAATGCAGGAAAAGGAGTAAAAGTTAGATCAGTTTGCCTAGATATATCTATAGAGATTAAGAAATAGTCACAGTTAGCAGAGTAAGCCACTCAGATACACAAAGAGAAGTTACAAAGGCAAAAGCTTGGTATTAGCACAAGTTTCGTTTTTGCTGCCTCTTCGAAATTTCCATTTTCCATTTTCATTTCATCTTTTATTAGTTTGGCATTCAGCAAGCGATTTATGGATTATAAATAAACAAGCAGCAGGAATATACATATATAAGATCTATATAAATATAGTTTATATAGATACGCGATCTTGTCGAGTAAGTGAGTGTGAAATCTGTATGTGTGTGAGTGTGCGCATTGGCATCTGCGTCAACAACTTGTGGGCGGGGCACGCGGCAATCGCATGCAGCAATTTTGGCAATGTTTTCGATTATTTTGGGTTATATTGAGGCCCATTTCGGCTATTTTGTTGGATTTGCAAAAAAACAGAAGAGGCAGCTGAAGAAAAATTAGCAGCAAAATAGAAAAAAAACTCATTTCTCTCAGGCGCATCTGTTTTAGTCGGCAAATTATATTTTGCGTTGTTGGCATTTAGTTGTAGCACTATATACATATATACGTATTTATGTATATATATTTTTCTTTATATAAATGAGCTATGCATTTCCACTATCCAAATCAAATTGAAATTTTATTTGGGAATTAATGCATTCATGTAGGCGTTCAGTAGATTTATTAACAAGCTCTTTAATGGCTTATGAAAATTATATTTTTATGATGTTAGACTTAGGCTTAAATGGTATAGTATATACATATATAGAACAGATCTTACAGCTCGTAAATCTAAGAGCATTATCAATATTTTTCCTGCTTGGTAAAACATAATTAAAAATAAAATCAAATATTTTTCTTTGCAACTTGTCAATTTTAGCATTTTTTTATAGACCTATAAAAATTAAATGGATTATTTAATATTGCATAGTTTAACCTTATTTTTATATACAAATAAAAAATTGAAAAAATGTATAATATTTTCTGAAATTCCCTGTCATTTCTCTACTACATATTTATATATATATTAAATAATAAATCTTTAGTAATTTCCTAAATAAATATATATATTTTTTACTATTAATAGAAATAAATTTTTAAATTTTTAAATAAATAAATATCCATGCATGAAAATAAAATAAAAATTCATTAGATCGTCGTTATTATAGAAAAAATAATAATTTATTTTCAGTTTGTATTATGGACAATGGTAAAATTCGTTGTTGGAATATTAATTTCTACAAATTCAAGAGAGTTCTTTGTACAGTTGGCTGTGAATCACTTTAGTTGGGGGTTAAATTCTTGATTAGTTCATATTGTTGGGTTTTTGGTATCGCCAAATAATCTGATCTGTAAGGTTTATTTAGCATTAGAAAGCGCACCGGATTTGGTAGTTGAGAAGCGTTTAGATGTAGATAAATATGTGAATTTCAAGAACAACAACAAGAACTACCTTCAGTGCTACGCATTCGGCAGCGAATGGAAACGACGGAGGAGGAGAAGAGGAGCAGCGACAGCAGCAGCAGTAGAAGCAACAGCAACGGCTGAATGCATTGGCGACAGCCTCTGCCGCCCTCCGGTAGGTGGCGCTCTCATATACAAAAATGTATCTGACGGATTTAATGGATGTGTGTGGGTGCAAAATAATGCGACTTCAGGGTGTTGTTGAAATCTTTTTGTTTATTTTGTTTTTTTGTATGCCTGTTCTTGACATTCTTTATATTTTATGTGTGCAATGAGCTGTAGTGCCTAAAATAAAAATGAAATCATTTACTTGGCCAAACTAAAAATGGTTTTTAATAACTTCGTGACTTACCGGATGCGAGCACAAACAACAATAATAATATGAGAATATCATGTCACAACAATAAAAAACAAACCATATATACGTATATCTATATTCACCGAAATAAAAATATCAAAAAGAATGAGATGCCATCCATAAATTTCGATTTAAATTAAATAAACAACACTTGGCTGTCCAAACTGAGGAGACAACTGTTCGAGTTGTCTAAATGTCACAAGAAATTTAAAAAACGAACCGATCTTAAAATATATATTTATATATGTATATACCTACTTAACTGACAAGGAATTTTAATACTGACAGCTGTTTGCCTGTGCAGGCAAACGATGCGAAATTGTGCGCAGTGTAGCCGAAAGCTCGCTGGCTCGCTCTTAGCTCTAAATGAAAGCTCGCAGCAGCAGCTGCAGCGCTCTCTTAGCTTGCAAGTCGAACAACTCGGAGCTGGCCTCTGCCCTCTGCTCCCTGGCCCCGGCTCAGCCAAGGCTTATCATCAGCTGATTAGCTTGCAGCACAAAAGGTCAACGGCGCCGCAATTGCTCAATGAGGCGTTGAGGCTGACATTTGACCTATGAATGAGAAGAGCTTGTGAATGGGACAGGGGCATGGCCATAGCCAGACCAAAAACGAAAACTCGTTCATGCAACGCCGCCAATGCCAATGCGAGCGCCCCAATTGTGGCAGCCGGCAAAGCAGAGACCGGCAAAAATCGGCGAGTGCAGCAATGCCAACATCCAAACGAGTTATACGGCAAAACTGAACAAGCGTATGTATCTGCCAGATATACGCATGCATATATATAAATATATATGTATATGTATATCGCTGTATCTGATGAAGAGGCCACTAAAAATAGCCAGAAAATGTGAAATGAAATTGTAGCGCGACAAGCAGCAAACTCTGCTAGCTGCATGCAGCACACGCTGATACTCAGACACACACACGCACACACACACACAGAGATACAGATACAGATACAGATACTCACGCACTCATAGATACAAATACATTTTTAGAAATCGCAGCAAGGGAGCTACTCGAACTGGAGAAGGCAGCGCCTTATGATTTATGCGGGCATCAGATACAGTTACACACACACACACACACACACACACACAAACACACATATACATATACAATATATGTATTGGCATTTCTAAAATTTTCATTTAATTTTCTGCTGCTGCTGGCATTGTGGGCGTTTTTGGCTGTGGAAAACTTTTTCTTCTCGAATATTGTGAAATACCACTGTGAATTGTTAGCGCCTGTCGCCAGCCATAATTTCTAGATGTCTGCTCTGTCTATAAATAGCTGCATCTATAACTGATGCCTGCGTTTGCGTATGCATATAGCATATGATTATAATTATTCGATTCATGACGCGTGTGAAAATGCCACGGCAAATGCAGTTCCACAGGGCTCAGGGTATGCGCATAGGGGCAGTCGGATCAACTAAATGCGGAAATTGTAATCAGCCTTGATAATCAGCATCTGTATTTGCTTTCTGCCTCCTGGCGCTAGCTTGTACAGTTACTTACATAGGTCGCGACTTACTTTAATCAATGGACGGGAACGACGACAACTGACAAGTGACAACAAATCTGGCACTGACCTTCACCACGCACTCTCTCGCTCTTTCTCTTCAAAAATAGGCACAAAGAAGCACAAAAATATAACAAAAATTTGCTCACTGTGCAAAAACGTTGAATAGCGATACAAGACAAAAGGGAATAGCGGTAAGGCCTCTGCCAACTCTCTCAATGCATTGCCGCGCATAGCTCTGCTTACGCTCTCCATTGGCCTCTCTCACGCTCGCACTCTCGCGAACTTTAAGCTCGACTCTCTGGCACACGTAACACAGTGGGTACGTTATCAGTGCGTCAACATTTGTCTAAGTCAATTTCGCGCATACTTTTCATAAACAAACAACTGACGTTTTTTGTATGTATGTATGTCAGTAGGTTTGTGTGTATGTTTTTATATATTTTTCGTCTTTTTCTGATGCGCTTCGTTTTCGAAATCTAAATGCTCTGCATGCACACACACACTTGCACACCTGCACACACAGAGGCGCCGTCATACTCATGCATACGCACAAGCAGAGGCAGAGGCAGAGGTAGTGGCAGCGGCTAAGCAAATGCTATTGAAGGTCAGTAAAGGTCGTCGCCGCAATTTGCTGGCCTCAAAACACATGTAGTTGACAATCTCATATCAACTGTTTCTTACATATCAACTATATAGAATCTGTATGTATTTATGCGAAGATGCGGCGTTATGAAATATGAGAATGCAATTTGCTTGCGGCATTTATTAATTGCGATAAAAAGAAACGGAGAAGAGCTGCAGTCGCAGTCGCAATTGCAAACACAATTGCAAAGGGAAGGCCCAGCAGCGCCTCTCAACGTGGATATGGATAGGCAGTAGCCATGCATAGTATACACATACACACGCACACACACAGACTCTCTTTGGATTTAACTTTTTTTTTTTATCTGTGTTCACTTCTTTGGTGGCGAACGCTCTTGTTGTTGGTAAAAACTTACTGCTCATTTTGTATTTGTTTTATTTTGTTTAACTATTGTGTATTATTTTGTTAAATATATATATATTTTTAACACACGCGGACCGAGTCCTTCGCGATTTATTGCGTTCCGGGGATGAAAAATTGGTGGTGGAGGGTGGGGCGTGCCCGCTGGTTGAGCTTTCACACACTGAGTGACGAGAGCGAGTCGAATTGTCTGAGTTGCCTTGCGGAGAGATTTTTGCGTTTGGCTGTTCTGCCTACCACGAGCGACGACAAGAAACTGAATGTGTCGAGCGAACGAAAACTCCGTACAACGACAAAGCAGACTGACGGCAACTGCGCTGCCGTGGCCATTTGAACGTGGGGGCTGCGTTTGACGTCGCCGTCGCAGTCGGCTGGCTGTCGCCATCAGGCAGCAACTACAAAACTGTTGCGGGCGGCGAGGGCATTCGCCAACCGACGAGGAAGGCGCCAAAAGTGAATTTTGCATTATACCTATGCTCGCTTGAATTTCATTTCTGTCATTCTCGTATTCTTCTGTTTCAACCGTTTCGCCGGCTATCTGTGCGCACTGCGCACTGAGAGGGAGAGAGTGAGAGAAAGCGAGCAGGCCAACGAGCGCCAAAGGTGCGAACATATGCAAAGACAAACAGAAAAAGTCGACTGACGCTCGCTCTCTGTGCACTCTCTCTTTAGTCATTGGACCGCGTCGGCTTTTTAAGAGAGCAAGTGCACTTGTTGCATTAGAAAAGACCTTGAAAATTTGATTATGATGAACTAACTGATTTCTTGACATATTTGGGCATGTTTATTTGTATACGGGAATGATTATTCATGTTTATTCAAGAATTGTTGTCTGATAAGTACTAAGTGAACTTTGACCTACAGTTGAAGACCATACAAACCGTAATCAATAACAAATAAGAAATAAACAGAGTTTTATGGCAGAATTCACTTACCCACTATTTTACAATATTTATATATGTACATAAGTATGTATATGTGCATAGCTCCAGTTAGAGTTATAACTGCATCTGCTCTGCTGGAAACTTCCTATAAATATTCAAAACAACATTGGCCTAATTGCTGGAATTTATTTATTTTACAACGCACGAAAGTATGCAATGCAAATTTTGCTTGGTGAGTTTGAAGTGTAGCTTAAAAGTAGGCAATATTTACTTAAATTTTAACTGCGCTCGAAAATATGCTACAAAATAGTTGTAAAGAAACTTGAAAGCTATTTTTAGTTAATTAAATAACAAACAAATTTAAACAAATTAAATATACATGTGTTTTGGCATTTGTTCACTAGAATGTGTATTTTGAACAGTTGTCATTGCTTGATAAACATCTATACACATCTACAGTTTGGAGGGTTCGCTCGCTTATGCTAAAAGGCAATTTTTCATTTGGCTCAAATCGCATGCGAAATAACTACTATATACACAAAAAATAGTTTGTAAAATTGCTATAAAATAAGTAGAACAATTCCTTAAATAGCTTGAGCACTTGCTAAAGTTTTTGGTACACATAGTTGGTATATGGCAATTCGATAGATAGTCTGTGGCACACTAAACTAAGGGTTAACTAGAGCTAGGCTAATAAATAACTAGATTTTAACTACAGCGATATTAACTAAGTGTACAGTTAGGGTCATGCTGAGGCAGTATCACAGTGCAGGGGCTCATCCTCCATCCGATTGTTGGTTGCATTTCGCGGCGATATCACAAAATGTTTGCGATTCTGTATTGATTGGCTAAGACGTCGATGGGCGCGCCGTTTGCGCCATCTGTGGATGCAGTACCAAGACACTGTACAAGACACAAAAACAACAATGTTATATTATATATACAGCTGGACGTGTTCTACTCCACTAGGCCAACTCACCCAGCAGCACCAAGAAGACGCCACCGAAGCAGCCAGCGCCAAAGAGCCAAAGGCTGCGCACTTCGGCCAGCTCCGCGCTGTTCAAGCAACCACGGAATGTTTCCGAGTTAACGGTGCGATTGTAGGGCAGTGGACACACGCTGCTGTCTAGCGAATCTGTGAAATGCAAAATGCAAATGTAAATTTCAAAACTTGGTCACATGCCAAAATTAGCTGCAGCAGCAGCAGCAGCAGAATCAACATTTGCTGCATCTGCATCGTCTGCTTCTCCTCTCGCTTCTCTGCTTACCCATGCAAACGGGCACAAATTTGGGATTGGCGCCGATCGTCATTAGATGATTGGTCACCTGCTGGCAGTCGCATGAATTGATCTGAGTGCGCGTCAGATCGATGACTCGCAAATGGCACAAATTGGCCAGCTTCTCGATGTGAAAGTCTGTCAATGGATTCGCCGAAACGTTTAGCTGCCAGAGATCTGAAAAGAGAGAAATATTAGTTGCAATTGTTAAATTTGACATGGAGTTATACTGAAGTTTAATACTATTGATATCTTGTCTGACAGACTTTTTATATTTCTGTTAAAGTAAATATGGATGTTATATTCCACTCAAGTTAATTTTCATATTCTTTTAGATTTAGCTTTATTAAAAATCAATGTCATGCTCCTGTTAAATTTTACCAGCACTGCATTGTCATTGAATTATTGTCAACTCGTTTGGTAGTCACATTATTTAACCTATCTGAGAAGCAGCTAGAATGTACTATATTCAAAGCCCACGTCATAAGCCTCAAAGAGTCTTAAATTGAAATCCATTAGATTTTCCATTAGCTATTATCGATATTATTTGACATGCAGTTAAATATATCACACAAAAAGTGAGTTATGGGTTTGCTAAAAAACACTATTTTTAGCATCTGGAATTGGTAATTGCAAAGAAAATATAGTAGAAATGACATCTCTAGGCTCCTGTTAATTGATTTCCCAGCAAAAAACATACCATCAATAATACATAGTTCAACATGAAGTCAACTTTAACATGCGGATTAGCTACTCACTTGGCAATATGCCCAGATCGGGAATATCGTGCAGGTCACAATTGGCCAGATTGAGGTATTCGAGCGGTGCACGAATCGGTCGCTGCAGCGCTTCGAGATCTTGATGCAGCTCCCGCAGCTCGTTGCTGTCTATATAGAGATTGCGCAGCCTGGGCAACGAGAACAGCTCCATGGGAATCGTGGTCAGACCATTATTCGACAGATCAACTTCCTGTGCATCAATCGATGATTAGTTCAGTAATTGTTGGGCTTTAATTGAATTTGAGCGGGGCTTACCTGGAGCGCGGTGAGCGGTGCAAATGTGCCCGGCTCCACAGATAAGATCATGTTCTCATATAGCATTAAAAACTTAATATCGGTATACCTCTGGAACGAGCCACTTTTTAGCTTCCTAATGCGATTGTACGATAAGTCCAGTACCTGGAAATAAACAAAACACAGCGAATTATTATTTTAATTCGCTATTTATAATTACTCCAAAGAAATTGTTAAGTCATGATAGTGGCAGCCCGTACCCCATTGGGGGTACGACTATAGGTATATGAGTATAGGTAAGTATCCGAACTTGGTATGAGATTTGCTGTGGGTAGATATATGACTGTAAGACGAACTTTTAAAGTAAATATGGAATCACTCACTCACTTTGGCATAGGCCAAAGACAAGTCAAAACTTTTGCATATACACATTATAAGAACATGCTTATTATCGATAACAAAGAAAAGACAGGAATTATTGATATAAAGATAAACTTGTACTTCTCCTGGTGTAAAGAGCTATATAAATCTAAGTATAAAGTCGCTTAAGTCAAGCTGTTGATGAAAAACAAACCTTATACAATGGAAAAGGCAAACGTGTTGACAGACAAACAAGGATATATCGTCTTAACTTTTCTCTTTGATCATAAACACAAATAGTTGATGGGTTATATATAGAATCGAAACGCCATAATTTGTTCTCGTAAAAACTGAAAAAGTCTTCCTATTCCTAGTCTACACATATCATACAACTAATTCGCAAAAAATGCTGCTGCCTATGCCATTTCGAATCATGAATCAATTCAAATTTAATTCTTCAGTAAAGAAAAACAAAATTTGCATATAAAAATTTCTATGTATAAATCCCTACAAATTCTTCTTAACTAACGACTCTCACTCTGCCTTTCTCTATCTCTCTCTCTCTCTCTCTCACTCTCCCTTTCCCTCTCTCTCTCTCTCTCTCTCTTTCTCTTTCTCTCTCTCTTTGTCTTTTTGTCTCCCATGCAAACAATATTCATATTAATGTGTACTACATAGTCGCATATTTTATGCCAAGCCACAAGTGAACTCTCTTTATGCTTTAATTAAGCCAATTGAGCTTGGCTCTGAGAGTGTGTGTGTGTGTGTGTTTGTGTTTTGAGTGGGGTCTGCTTATGATGTGCCATGGGGGATATGCGAGACACGAATTAAGTTTGGGTCATGAGATTTTTATTGGATGAAATTGAACTTATTTGTGGCAGGTCGGCAGGCAGGTCAGCTAATTGCTGTCACATAAGCAGCTGCAGACTCACCTCAACCGATGTCTTGAGGTTCTGTGGCACCTCCTTGAGATCCATGTTGTAGCAGCGAATGCGCATCAGCTTCTCAATGCGGCCCACCGAACAGCGGCGCTCATCCTGGCTGGCGATGCCAAAGGCCAGCAAAGCATTCACAACGGATATGAAGACAATGTTCAGCAGCAGGCAGCGCAGATCCATGCTGTAAATAGATCAGAGAGAGAGAGAGAGATACATGAATAAACGTATATACACATAAAGTATCGACAGAGATTATATTGAATGGGAAAACAAATATTGGCCATAGCCATAGCCGTGGAGCAGCAGCATCAATGGCGGCTGCTAAATCTTTATTTCTCGCGCCAGCTTTTTATTGCTCGCTGTTTATTTCCCCTCGGATTGCCTATCAAAATAATAAATAAAACCACAGTGGGTGAATGGGTGGTGGTGGTTACACACAGTAGCCGCAACAACAACAAAAACAAAAAAAGTAAAACCACCCAAACAATTATTTTCGAATTAACAAATTACAAGATCAATGCCGCGCCATTGAGGATCGTCAGGTTGGGTCAGTCTCTCTCTCTATTCCTCTCTCTCTCCCTCTCTCTTTGTCCCATTTACAATGCGTTCGATCAAGCGG